TTTATGATTCCAGTCGCGTTGCTTCTTGCTTTGTTTCGATACGACGCTTTTAAACGCTATCAAAATTTAGTTCTTTTGAGAAAATTTTAGTTTAATTTTAACACTACTGCTTCACCACTTCACTTCTTACCATTTTATAACAATATAGTTAAAAATAAATATAAGAATAAATATCGAATTAATTTTTTACTACCCAAACACCTGAGTTACTTACATACATATATACTAGCGGACCCGACAGACGTTGTCCTGTCTACACGTCTTTAATTCGAATATTATTTAAAAATTGACACTACGATGGTAGCGCCGTCTGTCGGATCCAATGTAAAACATTCCAAAATCAACAACTACTAATAAATTAAAAATTAATTAAAAAAACATTGTCCAGCGGACAAAATCGTGAATCTAAACCATTCCCAGATCCCCTTGAACACACACAAAAAAATCATCAAAATCGGTCCAGTCGTTTGAGAGAAGTTCAGTGACATACCACACTCACAGAAGAATTATATATATAAAGATTTACATTCAACTTTTTTTTAAATATAATTGTGTGATTATATGTTTTTGTACGATATTTCTACAGTGAAATATGACAGGTATTGATAAGAATTATAGTTCGACTTAATTATCAGACCCGGTGGGCATAAATCGAACTAAATTTTGATAGCACACTAGCGCCCCTTTAGCTGTTATTTCAAGTTTTTTTCTTTTATATAATTACCTTTTACATATTTTCTGACAGTACTTAGCGCGATAGCAGCGCCTCCCTTTACGCAAATACACAAAACACAATGTTATTTAACTACGTCCAACTCTACCTCTCAAACCCTGGTGTCTGAGACCAAAATTTCTGTTTGAAGATATTGCTGTCTCTCTTTTATTACAGAAAAAACCGAGATGACGACATGTTTAAGACAAAGGCTTATGTCTCAGAAGCCAACGGTAAGAGGACGTTGTTAAATAACATTACGCTTTAATGCGTTTGTTGCTTAGGCAGCTTTAATAGGAACTGTTAGGAAAAAAATCCGACACTATGCCGGTGTATCGGCGTAACACCAGCCTCAGTAAAATTTCAAGGTTTATGTCCCCTCACTAATCAATCTGACACGTTGTAACGAAAGCGTGCCATTCGCTCTAAATGTTTCTAACTATGTCTAAAAGTACTAAATAGTGTAATTTTTTTTACAACAATTATTCCGTGTTATAAATGCCACCAAATTTTTTATATAATACTAGCGGACCCAACAGATGTTGTCCTGTCTACACGTCTTTAATTTGAATAAATTAATATGAAGTTAATATTTGATGAAAATTGTGAATCTAAACCATTCCTAGATCCCCTTGAACACACACAAAAAAATTTCATCAAAATCGGTCCAGTCGTTTGAGAGAAGTTCAGTGACATACACACTCACAGAAGAATTATATATATAAAGATATAGAGGCAAGTAGTTAGTTTAAATTTAAGTATACTTAATTATTTATTTAAGTGTTTAATCTGCTCTTTCCATCCTTCTTACATTTTTATAATCATGTTGTGTACATTTACTTTGGCTTATAACCTAGATTCTTTATATTACTTCATTTATTTGTGAACATATAAATGGTGTTAAGCTGAATTGTGTAACAATTAAAAAAAAAATGCGTAACGCAACGTTCTAAACAATATCATCTTACAGTATAACCAAAGCCTCTGCAATGAAATAACAATCGTAACTATAACAATGCTTGACGAGAAGCAAAGACTGACAAACTGATTTGTATGCGAATAAATTTGCGTACGTATGAGATTGCTAGCTGACATATCCACGTTTGAGATGTCTACTTAATGAGATATACATGTCACAAAGCTTTTGATGTCTTCATTACTAGATGTAACAAATGTAATTTAGGAAAATAGTAACATAATATGTACTATATTAATCCAACCTTGAATCTTTATGAACATAAAGTGCAAGCTGAAAATATTGTTGTCCGGAAGAACTTAACGCTTGTAACAAACCAATGAGGTTTATTTAGCGTTAAATATATGTTTATTTGTATTCAAAATTGTATTATTAAATAAATAAAAATAAAACTTTTCACTTCAGTGTATGTATAAGAATTAAAATCCTACTAATATCAGAAATTTGAAAGTATAGATGTATGTTTGTTAGAAAGTATCTTCCGGATGGCTGAACGGATCTTGATGAAATTTGGCACACATTGCCTGGAAGAACATATAGCCTACTTATTTTTTTAATTCCTCGCAGACGGATTTGCTGCCGACAGCTAGTTCTAAATAATCTTATTTTAATGTTATTTTCTTATCATCATCAGCTAACTATACATCCCCACCTAAGGACTCGGAGCCTACCCTAAGTTAAGGGTGATTAGGCCATAGTCAACCACGCTGGCCAAGTGCGGGTTGGTTAACTTCACACATATCTTTGAATTTCTTCTCAGATATGTGCAGGTTGCATCACGAAGTTTCTTCACCGTAAAAACGTAGGATAAATGTACATATGTAAATCGGAAATGGAAAAACACAATGGTACATGGCGGGATTCGATCCCAGGACCTGCAGATTGCAAGTCTAATGCTTGACACCTGAGCCACCGACGCTAAATTTCTTAAGGCATGAACTATGACTAACATTTTCAGAGCATCCCATATTGATCCAAGAATGCAAACGAAACATAGAAACACTAATTTATAGTTTTATGTTGATGTAAGCATATATTGTCTATTCGACGAATCTCCGCTAGCCTAAATTTACAATGCAGAACACTTTATTTTAATAACTGTTGAAATTTTAATATTAAAATACATAAATCAGGACATGAATGCGGTGAATCCAATTCGCAAGATACGCAAATCACTAGATGAACTAACTAGTACCTTATATGTAAGTCTGTTAGTCACCAGGGAAATTTAAAGTTAAAAGTCTGATATAATCCATTGAAATATGGATTTAGCACAAAGTTTAGTTCAGTATTAATACAAAAGGTTAAATAAACGTTTCTAAACATAACTGAAAAAGCGAAAGTACTAAAAACTTTATAACGAAATATACAAAGTTTAACAAAAAAATAAATCCTAAATAAACTGAATAAAGTCAAGCAAATACTGTTAATTCTAACAAGAATATTGAAAGAACTTTGCGTCTGGTTTGTTGCTGATAAAGCTATAATGACGTATTTGACAGGGCACTTTCTTAAAAGCGGGGGTAATTTTCTTTTGCATTCTGATAAATAAAATACTTTAAAATGTTGGCTACTGTTCTTTATAAAATTGTGATTAGTGCCTTGAACACTTTCTATTGTAAATGCTACACTACGCATTATATCTATATTAAAATTATAAAGAGGAGAAATATTTCTTGGTCTTGGTTTTATTATAAGTATTTTTTTTTTATATCACAAGGTGGCAAACGAGCGAGCGGCCACCTGAAATCGCTGAAATAGCGAAGTGACCGTTGCCCATAGACATACGCAATTGCATATGCGTTGCCTACCTTTAATCGACGGAGGAGAGGATGCACAGAAAGAAAATATTTTCCCTTTCCATGCATCCTCTCATCCGGAAAGTCCACTTCCACTTCCCATCCTTTCCTTATAAGGAATAGGATGGGAAGGGAAAGAGGACTAATTTTGGCCTCCGGGACGCACACTCATCAGACTGTACGCGGAATTGCTTCCACTTGACGCCTGTCTTCTGTGTGGTCGTGGTATTTCACCGGGCGAGCCGGGCCAATTCGTGCGAAGATGTTAAAGCGGACTCTACCACTGTAAAATTAATATCGCTAAACCTATTAATATACACCTATAAAAAAGCAAGTAACACAATATTCATAAACTTCGTTCGATATATGTTATCCCTTGAGGTAATCTGTATTAACAATCAAGTTTAATCCACTAACAACTCTAAAAAAACATCGTTTATTTAAAGATATTTGCCAAATAGTGTGTCATTCGATTGGTATTCTTCTCCAGCGGGGCTAGAAAAAGTACACTCGCTTCGATGCGATTCCATACATTTTCGAATTTCGCTATGGAATTGCTTTGAAACGAATGCATTTTGTCTAACTGAACGTCACAAGTCATCCGCTTTTTGCTTTTTAATTAACAGTGTTATTTGGTTTTACACTTGTGTACAGAGGGCAGCGTTGGTGTTTAATTACACTGACAATAGCTGACACGACGCGACCGGAATTCCATTAGCCGTATGCCTTTGTATCGTTTCCTGGGTTATGCAACAATATAGCTCTGATTGGACGCCTTATACGTGAGTGAATTAGACAATGGTTGTCTGCTGCATATTATGGATATTGCAAATCATTATACTCGTACAAAGCGTCAAAGACGAGGTGCTGGTTTCGTCTGTGATTACCCTTTGTACCTATTGTCTTTTTTCCTTTAAGATCGAGAATAGACATAGGTACATTAACTACAATTTTTTTTCATCATCACTATACGTCCTCATGGTCTTGGAACCTAAATTAAGTTAGGGGTGATTAGGCCATTGTCAACCAAGAGCGGATTGACCTAACATATAATATATCTTTGAATATCTTCTCAGATATGTGCAGGTTGCATTACGATGTTTTCCTTCATCGTATGAACGTCGGATAAATGTACATGTATAGTAGTAGATGACGAGATTCGAACCCAAGACCTGCAGATTACAAATCAAATGCTCAATCTGTGAGTCACGGAGGCTCGCTTATTTGTTTTTCAAGTGGTTAATGTTCAAGTTCAAGGTACGAGAAGGATAATATATCTAGTACTAGTATATTGAATGTACCAAAGTATGATTATATCGTAAATCAAACACAAATAAATCTTGAATTTCCGTACCAAAGTCTTAGTGAGGTAAACGAATAGGAATTTCATTATCATTGTAGTAAATGATGCGAGAAATTATACCGACTTTATGGTTTTTGTTAACATATCTGAGAAGAAACGTAATCAAATATTTGTATGACTGTTTATATTAGAAATACATCGCTGTGATATTTCGTTTATAATGACATTGTGGCAATTATTTAATTTGCTTATTTTACTTTTCGTTTTTAAAAGTAAGCTTTTCATTTCTTTACTTGTTAATGTTATTATAGTCAAAAGAGTTTTGTCCGATCTTTTTTTTGATAAAATATTAGCAGATTTTTTTTCGTAAATTTACTAATATTTCTTGTACCATTCCAACTAAGCTCTAGGCTTGTGCTAGGATATGTTTTACGATAATAGTCGAATGGCGGGATACGAACCCCCGATCTCGTGATCGGAAATCCGTATCTTTAACCATTATGATATTGACGCTTAAATTATTATACAAAATCTCATGAGAAATTATCTCTTTCCATCGGATGGTCCGAAATATAATTTTAACAGTGGTAGAGCCCGAAATAACATATTTTGCACGATTGGGTCTGCTTGACCGGTGAAATACCACGACAACACGGAAGACAGGCGTGTAGTGGAAACAATTCCGCGTTTCGTCTGATGTGTGTACCAGATGCCTAATTTAGTCCTCTTCCCCTTCCTATGGTTTTCGATGAAGGAAAGGATGGAAAAAAGGGGATATGGCGGAGGAGGTATGTCTATAGGAAGCCGTCTTTTCGCTATATTGGCGAATTCATGTGGCTTTGCCGCGCTATTAAAAAAATAGCCCTAGTATTAATAGACAAAAATTGCTGATTTCAGGTTCCTGGTCCCAAAGAAAGATCATCGGTGGACATCTTGTGGGTTCAGTACAGAAAAGATACGTGGTAATTTTTTTTTATTTTCATAGAATTTGTTCTGTTTTTTTTATAGAATAATCCTGGGAAAAAATGAAGCCTAAAAAGGTTAACAAGTGGTGACTTCGATGGTCCCCGTATTTTTTATATGAAACGTTTATGTTATGAGTGAATCTAATAAGATTTAAAAAGGACTCATATTATATGTAAATGCGAAAATTTACATGGATGGATGGATGTTTGTTTGAAGGTATATGCGGAACGGCTCAACGAATTTTAATGAAACTTGGCACAGATGTAGAACATAGTCTTGAAGAACATATAGGTTATCAAGTTTTTTTCATTTCCGTACCAACAGAGTCGCAGGCGACAGCTAGTTTACTAGTAAATTTTTACCATTATCAGCAGGCTTGCGTTAGTAAAATGGGTCACGATAATAATAATTGTGGGATTTGAAACAATAACCGTTGGATTGGTAATCCATATTGTTACCAATTATTAGAATGTTTTAAACGATTGCAGGTGTATATAGTTAAATCTGATAAATCTAAAATGGCATATGATAATTGGAGTTGCGGTGGTGCTCTAGTCAACAGTAATCATATTATCACCGCCGCTGCGTGCTTAGAAGATATCCGCTTTCTGTACGCCGTTGCTGGGTACAGTATTATGGTAAAGACTATATCTTCTGATCCGTGCACAAAATGGTTCAGCAAGAAAATCTTACAAACATGCACACCAAGAGGTTTGTTCAATTATTTTATAAATAGTTGTCGTCTTTCAGCCTATGTTGTACATCTATGCCAAATTCAAACTAGTTCCATTGAGACGTTCTCGAAATAACTTCTAACAAATATCCATCCATCCAATCATTCGAATTTATATTATTAGTAAGATTAATACTAGCTGTCGCTCGTGACTCCATTCCTGCGGAGTAAATAAACTCAATCAGTAACCTATCTGTTCTTTCAGCCTATGTTCTACATCTACGACAAATTCCATCGAGACCCTTTAGGCTGTTCTCGGGATATCTTCTAGCAAACATTCATCCATCTATTCAAACACTCACATTTATAACATTAGTAAAATTAAATTAAAATCCATATTTCAGCATACGAATTTAACTATGCTAAAGTTCATAAATGGGCAGGCATGGATATAGGCATAGCGTGTACAGGGTCACCGTTTGCAATAAAAAACGGATATTGTTCATACTCTCCAGAACCTATACCAATAAATTTCAATCCTAAATATGGTGCTGAAGGCATCGACGCTATTGTCTTGGGTTGGGGACATTTCACATTTTGGCGAGAGGTAAGTTGTGTGTTGAATACTTAAAAAAAAGTACATTCGCCTCAATTGCGAAGAGCTCAGAGGTTTAAGTACTTCACTTGTAATCTGCGGGTCCTGGGTTTCAATCCCGCCATGTACCAATGTGTTTTTCGATTTTCGATATACATATGTACGACGTTCTTACGGTGATGGAAAACATCTTGATGCAACCTGCACCTATCTTTTTTTTTATATCATAAAGAGGCAAACGAGCGAGCGGCCGCCTGAAATCGCTGTAATAGCGAAGTGACCGTTACCCATAGACAAACGCAATTGCATATGCGTTGCCTACCTTTAATCGACGGAAGAGAGGATGCACAGAAATAAAATATTTTCCCTTTCCATGCATCCTCTCATCCGGAAAGTCCACTTCCACTTCCCATCCTTTCCTTATAAGAAAAAAGGTGGGAAGGGAAAGAGGACTAAATCCGGGACACACACTCATCAGACGAATCGCGGAATTGTTTCCACTTGACGTCTATATTCTGTGTGGTCGTGGTATTTCACCGGGCCAATTCGTGCGAAGATGTTAAAACGGGCTCTACCACTGTTGAATCTGCGAAGAAATTCAAATATATGTGTGAAGTCAACATGCACTGGAGCAGCGTGCTTGACTATGGCCTAGCCACCCCTAACTTAGGTTAGTCTCCGAGCCCGTCAGTGGGGACTTATAGTGAGCTGATGATGATGTGAAGGTTTTAGCGCCCAAACTAATCCACATAGACTTTTCCAAACACCAGTATATAATCAAAACAATGAATGCTTTAAAAAATTAATCAATAAAAACTTAATTCAAATATTTTTAGCCCATCAATAAAGACCGCGGATTAAAAAAAGATCTATATTACGCGCCTGTATCAATTATGAATAAAGAAAAATGCATGGAATATTACAAAGATTTTCCCGAATTTCAAGAAGTTATACGAAAATATATGATTTGTACGTTCGGCAAAGGAAACCTGGACATCACGGGTCGTCTCATAACAACAATAAGGCCAAAGTATGAACGTTGCGGGAAAACTGAGGTGAAGTAGAGCTTAAATATATGCTTATAAATGTAAAAGGATTAAGATATTTCGACGCATGTAAACGAAGAGCGTCAAGCACTTGACTAGCAATCTGCAAGTCCTGTGTCCGATTCCCGCCATGTACCAATGTGTTTTTCGTTTTCTGATTTACATATGTACATTAGTTCGACGTTCTTACGGTGAAGGAAAACATCGCGATGCAATCTGCACATATCTGAGAGGAAATTCAAAGATATGTGTGAAGTCAACCAATCCGCACTTGGCCAGCGTGGTTGACTATGGCCTAATCACACTAAACTTAGGGCAGGCTCCGAGCCCCTCGGTGGGGACGTATGTCAATTGGACTATCATGACCACTTTCAGTGCCGATTTTAGCACTTACAGCGCCTTCTGCGCGTGATTTCTACAACGCCCTCTTTTTTAACATACCTTTGAGGTGAAAAACCTCTGTAATACTATGTATTTGATTCATTTCATCACCTTGGGTGGTCGCCAAACTGCGGCCTATCCGATATTAACCAATTTTAATCATTTGGTAAATATTTACTATGTCAGAACTGTTTTTATGTCCAGGATGGTGAATGTAGAGAAAATTTGGAGAGCCAATTAAATGTGGAAACTCCAAATACAACTGAGTTTGAAACAACCAGGAGACAAGGAATCTGTCAGGTACATAATATGTACGTTTCATGCAATAAAGATGATAAAATTAAAAAAAAGTCTTAATTAACTGTTGGTTTTAATAATAAATAAAAAATATTTAACATTTTTATAGTTACATTTCAATTGAAAACAGACCTATTATGTTTTTTTTAGAACGATCACGGCGGACCACTGGTGACTTGGATAGGTGGCAAAGAGTACCTCATCGGTATCGCGTCCGTATTCCGTGTAAACAAAACAACTTGTGTGGGACCATTTTTATTCACAAGTACACATTGCAATGGCGCTTTCTTACATTGTTTTTTTAATAAAAGACGATCAGGGTAAGATTTTTTTATAGCACACGTATTATAAGTCATACTGTGCCGATCAAACATAGGCATTAGGAGACTGATGATTAATTTTTTCAATACAAAACTTCATCTTTCACCACGCTTTTACAGTAAATTTTACTAATATTGTTAATATATGAGTAAAGTCAACTAACCAGCAGTGAACCAGCGTGGTCGACTTTGCCCTAGTCACCCCTAACTTAGGGTAGGGTCTAAGATCCTCAGTGGGTACGTATAGAGAGCTGATGGCGGTTATAAAGGCGAATGTTTGGATGGATTAATGGATGTGTGTTTGATGGTATCTTCATAACGGCTGCATGCTTTCTGAAATGTGGTATAGATGTAGAACATAGTCTGGAAGAACGCAAGGCGAATTAAGTTTGTTTTAATTCCGCGCGAACAGAGTCGCGGGCGACAGCTAGTATATAAACATGTTTTTAATTGATTGCTTCAGAGAAGATCCTTCAGTTTGTGATGTATATGCAAATGAACAAGGTTTCGAAATGATATATAGAAATATATCTTGGAACGAACATCCAGACGGGTAAGATTTCCAAAAAAAAAATTGATTATGTTAAAAATTAATTATATTCGAATTTGGAACAATTGGCCACTAACAAATAAATCCGTTACTTGCGATACTGGCGATACAACTGTATCTTAATTTTTTCTTTTATAATTTTCAGGTACGCTGACAATGAAAGAAATATTCCAAACAACGATTTTACATCATTCTACTAATTTTTGTGGCATAGTCCTTCTGGTTACATGAAATTTTAAATCAGAAAGTAAACACTCTTTCTATTTAGAATTACAGATTTGAAATGGGTAAAACTCATAATATCTGAATTGAGGAAGTATGATAAGGAAGTCGTATTTATTTTGCAATTTAGGAAGTTAGCAAAGGTAAGTTAGTAAAGGAGGATAGGCATAGGAGCCTTCTTGGCATGTATGTATGTTGAGATAATTTGTATTATTGAATTTTGGGACACCTTGTACATTTTATTATCTTAAGTCCACACTTATTAGAACTATAACGTCAGCCGTAATCGTACTATTTAAAGAAAAAGAAATGTAAACTCAAATCAACAAAATTTATGAAACGAAAGTAAAGTTAGTTTAATCTACGGAGGAGAGGATGCGCAGAAAGAAAATATTTTCCCTTTCCATGCATCCTCTCATCCGGAAAGTCCACTACCACTTCCCATCCTTTTTTAAGAAAAAGGGTAGGAAGGGAAAGAGGACTAAATTAGACCTCCGGGACGCACACTCATCAGACGAAACGCGGAATTGTTTCCACTTCACGCCTGTCTTCTGTGTGGTCGTGGTATTTCACCGGGCGAGCCGGGCCAATTCGTGCGAAGATGTTAAAACGGGCTCTACCACTGTTGGGCATTCAGAAAATGAATCAAATGACACCTATCATTTTATAATAAGTCAATCCAAATACTTTCCAGTTAAGGAAGAAAAGTAATTTGTGTATGAAAATGTATAAAAATTGAAATATAATGTTAGAATTCAATAACTTTCTTAATAAAAGTTCGTACAAACAAAATATCCATTTTTATTGAACTTTCAAATGCATTGAACAGACGAAACAATTCCGCAATGTTGGCAGCTATCGTGGAGTTTTTTGCGGTTTTATTAAATTTACTTTTGATGTTTGCAAAAAATGTGAAATTTATTTTAATAGAAAATAAAATAAAATATAGTTTTGAATCCAATCCAATTGTAACATATTGCCCTTTAATTAATAATTATATCATATAGGTTAATTTTCGTAAATAAATAGAAATAATAAAAATAGATGTCGAAAGTTTTTATTTATTCATAGATGTTTTTACTCTAAAATCCTTAAGCTATTAGTTATTAAAATATTACGTATAATTAAAGAATAAAATTCGCTTCTCACTTGGAATCTAATACGGTAGACTGTCGTCTAATCACAAAGAACTTAGCACGAATGTATACTATAACTTTTGGTCTTACCGTGGGTTTCTGAGATCTGCGTTGAAAACATATTATCTATATTTTGTCCACGATATGTTTTATACAGAGATTTTGATATCAGAAACCCACGGTTATAGGTTTTACATTTATTATATGAAAAAAGGGGGGAAAGGAGAAATCTTTGCCACGTTTTACCGAAATAGGCAGGTAATCTTCCTAATATTATAATGGCGAATATTTAGATGGATGGATGGATGGATCTCCCGTACAGCTCAACGGATTTTGATGAAATTTAGCACAGATGTAGAACATAGTCTGGAAGGACGGATAGGCTACTAAGTTTTTTTTAATTCCCCGCAAACGGGGTCACTACAAAAAAACTAAAACTAGTGGTCGCCCACCACTAGTTTTAAATATTTTTACATATACATAAGTAATAATAGATACGTTTCTTGGATATCTTTGTATCTCAGACCATAAGTAAGCTTTACATGTAAGTCTTGTTCTGCGGTACAAGCTTGTTATCAGAGGATAAAGATTTAAAAATGCACCTTATTTTATTTGAAATATTTTCTATTCATGCAATAGCATTTCTCGTTTATTCGAGTTATAATGAAGCCTTAAAGGGTCTTGACAGACAGACAGACGGACAACAAAGTGATCCTATAAGGGTTCCGTTATTTTCCTTTCTATGTACGGAACCCTAAAAATACTAGGAAGTATTGTCCTACATATTAAAGTGCTATTTCCAGTGAAAGGATGTTATAAAAATTGACATAATTAAAAAAAATACATTTTCGTTATAAGCAACGCGAATACATTAAGTTCGCGAAATGTAAAATTTCTTATTCAATATTACATACAGAACCTACATTTTTATTAATGGTAAATCTTACTAATCATACTAATATTTTATATGAGAATGTTTGGATGGATGTATGTTTGTTGGAAAGTATCTCCGGAACATGTCAACGGATCTTTATGAAATTTGGCACACGTGTAGAACTTAATCTAGAACACATAGGCTATTTTTTTAATTCCGCGCGAACGGAGACGCGTACGATAGCTATATTATTAAATGTATCGACAACAAAAGACATCATTTTCATTCATTAAATATGCGAATCATCATCTGCAAAGGAAAACTAATTTATTAAGAATTCAAAAGACCGGTACCGAGCGCTCGGTTTTAGTGAAGGGTTTCTTAATTAATATTTCATCTTCTTGATATTATTCTAAAGATTTACAACTGCGGTAATTTTTTTTAAAACTCTTAATAAATCGTATTATCGTAACAAAATAGTCGAGGACTTAAATTTCTGTCTAAGTGGGAAGCAAATATAATTCTTTAACTAAATATTCTGTTAGGAAGAAAATCCGATACTGTGCCGGCGCAACACTAGCCAAAGGGTTCTAACTAATCTTATATCTTTAAATGAGCAATATATATATATATATATATATATATATATATAATTGGAATCTCGGAATCGGCTCCAACGATTTTCATAAAATTTAGTATATAGGGGGTTTCGAAGGGCTCGATCGAATCGATCTAGCTAGGAATCATTTTTAGAAAATGTCATTTTATTCGTGTTTTATCGATAATCAACTTAAACATAAAGTTCACTTTTCTATCGGTAAGATCGAAAATATTATTCATATTTCATCATTTTATTAGTAATTCGTACTTAAATATAATTTCCAAAAACACAATTTAAAAAAAAAATACCGAGCAAAGCTCGGTCATCCAGGTACTAATGTCTAAACGTTCATATACCAATGATCGTAAAGATCGGCTTTAGAATACGAGTGATGAAATATTCATTTTCAGCTCAAATATATTTATATTCTTAAAGCACATTTTCATTAGTCGTAAGCACTCGCATGCGGGTCGAGGGAGGTTTGTGTTCACGGCTGTCGTAAGGTCATACGCGAACCATTTTCATCAGTCGGTAAGCATGTGTTGTGTGATGCGAGAACTTGAAGCATGCGGTACCAAGGAGTAAACAACTAATGGAAATGCCTCTTTAGATATAAAGAATTGGTATATTTTATTGCATAAAATTGTATAAAACTTACTTGTATAAAACTCGTATAAAACTTCGCATTATTTTAATGTTATTTCTTGATCAATTCGAATTATATGCAACCTACTTTTAATTAGTCTATTTTAATTGGGTATCGTCAGGTGTTCACTATCTCGGCATGATAAACAATTTAAGTGAAGCTTAATTTAACGGAAGCTGAGTGAGATTGCCTTGTAACTGTGTTAATGGTTTTCAGTATGCCTGATAGACGGAGTCATAGAAATAAATTTCCTTCCCACTAAGCATCAAAAATCGTACAACAAAGTACTCGATAAATTACATAGCTAGTACGAATTACTATGATAGGTTTTCGAGCTAATAGTAGGTACGTGGGAAGGAAATAAATGTCCTTGACTATATATTTATATGAAGTAAATCTGTGTGCAGTAGTACTTTTCGAAAACGAATTTTAAACAATGAATATGTGTAAATGTATTTAAGCAAGAAGTTTAATTAAAATGTACATTTAGAAATGTGCTTTTATACATTTACTTTACTAAATTAAACAAACAAACAACATATTAATTTAATTTTTACGTTTCGTATCACTCTCAGCTTTGTAATAACATACTAATTAACACGTTTGACGCAGTTTGTGCCACGTTTATTCTCATGTTTGTGGTTCCTTTAAGCAAGTTTATTTATTAATCTAGCTGTGCTAGCGACTTTGTCCGCGTGAACAACCGTCTTTGAGCTGCGCGCGGTACTGCACAGTACATAGAGATTGCAACATTACTTTATTTTTCAAAAATAAAAGATTTTTTCTAAAATAAAAGTAGCCCAAGCTACTTCTTATTACAGCAGCTAGCTGCTAATAAAAGTCCTATTAAAATCGGTCCAGCCATTTATGAGATTAGCCGGAACAAACATACAGACAAAATAAAGTTTTAAAAAACGTTATTTTGGTGTAGGTACGTGTCGTCATGTGTAGGAGCGTCGGTGGCTCAGTGGTCAAGCACTTGACTTGCAATCTGCAGGTCCTGATTTCCGATTTACATATGTACATTTATCCGAAGTTCTCACGGTGAAAGAAAACATCGTGATGCAACCTGCACATATCTGAGAAGAAATTCAAAGATATGTGTGAAGTCAACCAACCCGCCCTTGGCCAGCGTGGTTGACGATGGCCTTATCACCTTTAACTTAGGGTAGGCTCCGAGCCCCTCGGTGGGGACGTATAGTGAGCTGATGATGATGATGACATGTAGTAAAAAACGGTTATTTGAATATTACAAACTGACACTTCAATTTTATTTATATGTATAGACAATTATAATAGTAGAATACTGTTAAAATAGAACCCAAATTAGAAATGGGTAGCGAGTAATTTAATATTAAAGTTCTCCGTCCAAAAAGGTTTATTTCATTTATTTTTAATCCTCTCACAACGACAGCCCAAAACTCAATTGCGAAGTCAATTATTTTGCACAATAGAGCGTAAATCGAAACACAAATGTTTTATTTAAATTGATATCGAGGGATTATTCATAAAAAAGTTTTTAATAATCGTTAAGAGAACAGTTTTACATGTTTTTTTTACTAAAGATTACCGTGTTTATGTGTGTGTGTTATGATTGCGTGTGTATGTGTAACTGTGTAGTGCTTATGTAAATATGTAGGAGGTCACCTACAGATTTATATTTTAGTTAATTGAAAACAAATATGATAAAATAATACACTAAATCGTACTAATCTTACTAATATAAATGCGAATGTTTAGATGGATGTCTGTGATGGTGAAGGTAAGGTAAGGATTTTGATGCAATTTGACATACATGTAGAACATAGTCTAAAAGAACATAATGATTACTTATTAAGTTTTTCATTTCACGAGGATGGATTTGCAGGCAACAGCTAGTATAAGACTAAGCTATATTTTCAACAAATTACGTATCGTTCATGATCGGTAATGTTTTAGTTCAAGAAAGTCGATCATTCAATTCGAAAGTAAGCGTTATACGTTTTCTAAAGAGCACATAGAAAGTTCTAGTAAGTCTTAA